CTGAACAACAGAAAAGATAAATATCCTAATCAAAAAATGGGCAAAGAACATGAATACGCATTTCACTAAAGAAAGTATGGAGTTCTGGTGTGGCGCTGTAGGGTCAGCACTGGATTGCTAACTGAAAGGTTGGTAGTTCCAACCCACTAGCCACTCTGTGAATACCCTATACAGGGCCACTATAAGTTGGAGCTGACCTGATGGTGCTTAGGAACAACAACAACAAAAATATACAAACAACCAATACACACATGAAAAGATGTTTTTAAAGGGTCTTTAAAGTTTGTGAGAATTCATCTAAGACGAAACTACTGGTCTCTTCCCATCCAGAGCAAACAGGAACAACAAAAAAATAAAAGGTAGAAGGAAACAATTAGTTCAAAGGACTAATGGCCCATCTGAATCCCAGTCTCCATGACCTTGAGACCAGAAGAACTAGATGGTGCCCAGCTTACACTGCTGACCTGCTCTGGAAGGGATCACAATAGCAGATCCTAGATAGGGTGGGAGAAAACTGTAGAACAAAACTCAAAATCATGAAAAGTGTCCTGATGTGGCACTGTAGGACAAGCACTGGATAGCATTTAACAACAACACTGGTCTGTTGGAGACCGGTGTCACTGACACTGTGGCCTTTAGACACCCTTCAGGCCGGACTCACCTTTCAATCAAACAGCAGACATGCCTGTAAGGTGAGAAATAGCGCAAGAGAGATGTGAAATCATTAGAACAATCACCTCTGGGGTAGCAGAAGTGCAGCATTTGCCCAGGGATAAAGCTCAGAAGGCAGGATGGGAAAGGAGAGGAGAGGATGACTGAAAAATGGTCACACGGGGAGACTGTGGAAGATGCTGTTACACTGAGGGAATTACCATCAATGTCACAAAACAAAGTGTGTATAAATTGTTGGATGGAAAAGCAATTCACTCTATAAAGCTTCACATAAATCACAATAAAAAAAATAACAGTGGTCCACTGGCATTATTACATTGTTGTTGTTACTATTAAGTGCTATCAAGTTGGTTGAGACTCATAGTGAGCCAGTATAGAATTCCTGACTCTGGAAAAATTTTTTGACAGACTCATCAGTTATACCTTCAACGAATCCTACACTTCGTTTCATCTCAATGACTGCAATTCTCTCCATGTAACAACAGTGAACCCGCTTCCTCCCGGTGGTTCCCACTTTCATTCCACCCACCTTCCCATCCATTCTCAACTTTGTCCTTAGGTAAATGTTGCCCTTTTGATTTTGGATGACTGACCATTCCATATACAGAGAGGACAACACTTTATGAGTGTTGTTGTCCCCTCTATGCATCTACCTACTGTTTAGCTGAAAACTGGGTCATGAGGGTAAGCTCCTTTCTAGACCTCAAGGGGGTCCAGGGCCATAGTCTTGGGCTCCTCTAGTCTCTTTTTGACCAGTAAGCCTCGTCTTTTTTTAAAAATAATTTTGAGTTCTGTTCCAAATTTCCTCCCGCTCTAATCAGGGCCTTCTATTGTGATCCCTTCCAGAGCAGTTGGCATTGGTAGCTGGGCACCATCTAGTTCTTCCGGTCTCAGAATTGTGGAGACTGATGTTCACATGCTCCATTAGTCTGTTGGACTGATTCCAAGCCACTTCAATTCTCATCACTCTTCTTTCTTCTGCACAAGTGAGACCAATTGCTCTGAGGCTGTAAAGCTTTACGGGAGCAGAAAGCCTAATCTTTCTCCCACAGAGTGGCTTGTGAGCTCGAACCACTGATCTTATGGTTAACAGTCCAGTGCATATCCTACAGAACCACAGTGCCCCACAATCACTAAATCAACTCTGACTCATGGTGCTCCCATGTGTGTCAGAGTAGAACTACACTTTATAACATTTTCAATGGTGAATTATTTTAGAAGTAGATCTCCAGACCTTTCTTCAGAGGAACATCTGGGTGGACTACAGTTTACAACCTTTCAGTTAGCAGCCAAGCATGTTAATCATTTATGCCACCCAGGGATTCCTCATACTCACTGGTTTTGCTATTGTCAGACAAAATGGAAAACAAGTCACAGAAAGGATGTGGAGAAACTGGGACCCTTATCCATTGTTAGTGGAAATGTAAAATTATGCAGCCACTGTGGAAAACAGTTTGGCAGTTCCTCAAAAAGTCAAACATAGAAATAGCATATGACCCAGAAATCCGAATCCTAGGTATGTAGTCAAAAGAAAACCAGATATGCAAATGAATACTGTATAGCAATGTTCACTGCAAATTCTAAACATAACAGATGAAAGTGGCAACCTCACAAATGTCCACCAACAGATAAATGGATAAACAAAATGTGGCACATACGTACAATGAACCGTTATACAGACTGAGAGAGAAAACCAGTTCTGATACACATTAGGATATGGATGAACCTTGAAACGTCATGTTGGGTGAAAGAAGTTGGACATAAAAGGACAAATAACTCATGCTCACACTGCCGTGAAATATCTAGATTCAGCACATAGATAGAAACAAAATGCATTAGCGGTGATCAGGACAGGTGGGAGGGGGTGGCAGAGTTTCTGTTAGGGTGATGAAAACACTGGGGAATGGACAGTTGTGATGATAATTTATGCACTGAACTGAGCTTGCGCTCAGTAAAACTGTACATGGGAAATGGTTGAAATAGCAAATGTTTTGTTATATACTATTTTACCACAATTACAAACAAACAAACAAAAAAAGAACACATATGGTAAAGTAATTTTCTACAACTATGAAACCCAAGTGGTACTGTAGGGTAAACAATGGACTGCTCACCACAAGGCTAATGGTTCAAGCCTACTGCCATGCCTGGGGCACTGGAGGCAGAGGCTTTCTGCTCCTGTAAAGATTTATAGCCTCAGAAACCCTATACAGGTTGCTATGAGTAAGAAATGACTTAATGGCAGTTGTTGGGATCTGAGTATTTAAGTAGCCCTGGGGGTATCGTGGGCTTAGTGCTGGGCTGTTAGCTGCAAGGTTTGCAGTTCAAACCCTAACCCACTCCACTTGAAAAGATGAGGGTGACTGTTCACTAGAGAATCACAGCCTCAGAAACCCCAAGAAGCAGTTCTACTCTGACCTAGAGCATAAGGTCATGGAGTCAAAAGTGACTCAATGCAATGGGACTTTATGGAGTTGAATTTTCAAACTATACATAGTTAGTGTGTCAGACAGCCTCATCCCATTGTGTTTCCAAGCCTTCGTCCTAGTCAGCTACTAGCCACACGAGCTCATGAGAAGGTAACCATATGAAACAGACATTATTAAACTTCTGCCACATTCTGTTATGCGCTTAAAGCATTATTCCATCCTGTGTACCCTTTGCTGACACACTAGATTACACCATCTTTCCTAAATCAACAGGATCCTCCTAAATTACACAAAAGAGAGAATTTAGGATGTCAAAAGTGTGATTTGGAAACGAAGAACGTCAAAGGCATGATTTAAAAAGGGGGGTAAAACTGTGTTCAGGAAAACAATAAGCAGAGACATATTCTAAATCCTATTTTAAATTCTACAAAAAAATATTTCACATGATTACAATACTGAAAATCATTCTTAAATCTGCAAGCCTCAATTCTGGCCACTTGTGTGTCCTGCATCTATAAGCAAGACACTATAATCTTTACAAAGCCCTCGCTTATCCAGGGAGGCCATCGTATGGCCCAGATAAAGTGCAGATTGTAAAGCAATTGAAATTTGGGTAGGAGACATAACAATTTTTTTACAGACAAAATGAATATCCTCTGGTCCTTTCACAATGCCTTTCACATTGCCAAAAAGATCTAAGTAGGCATGAAATAATGGAGCAAGATAAAACACAGGCAAAGAAAATGGGGTAAAACCACAAACTTTCAGGATCAAAGCATGATTGCAAAAAATACAATATCCCAGGTTTGATTATCTTGTTATACAAAAGCCATCCTTGGATTAGAGCTAGTTGGGTCTTTGGTTGAGAGAGTAGTACAAGATTCTAGAACTGGTTCCATCAAAGATCCAAACTACCAGTCACCTGACATATTCATAGCATGACTCCACAGTCACACATTCCATCCATCAGTCAGGCACCTTACAACCAACAGGATGGGCACAGGTAGATTAAAGAAGGCCGACACTGCTCCACGTGAACCATTCAGAGGTGGAGTCTGTCTGCTCCCCTGAATCTGGGAATCAAGTGCTTTGACCAATAGGATACAGCACACCTGAGTGCTGGTCTACAAAAAACAGACATTTCCCATTTTCATTTCCAGTCATTTGAAATACTCTCCTAAAAAGCCCGAGCTGCTATTTAAGTTCAATTACCTTGAAAGCACCATGCAGGAGAGACTGCCTACAAGCACCTGGTCAGAGTTCCTGTTGAACTTGACCTCTTAGTCACCCCAGTCAAGAGGTGACAGGGCAGTGAAGCCACCCTGAGAACCAGCTGCCTAGCACCAAGCAGCCTCCATTGAAATAGTGGCTAGCATGCCTGCCCTAACTCAGAAAATGATGAGAGAAATAAAATGGTCCCTGCTTTATGCCTCCAAAATTTCAGAGTTTGTTATGCAGCAATAGATAACTGGGATAGAAGGCTTCTCTTTTCCTCAATCTATTTCCCTTCAAAAATGCTGTATTACCTGCCCTTACTTTATAACACGGGACTCCTGGTGGGACGCTGTGGGTTCATGCACTAGACTGCTAACCGAAAGTTCGCAGTTAAAGGTCACCAGTCACTCCTAACTGGGTGCTATGGGTCGGAATCGACTTGATGGCACCTAACAACAACTATCTAACATGGGACTTCTGGTGGGATTCTGTGGGTTCATACACTGGACTGCTAACTGAAAGGCTGGTAGTTCAAACCCACCAGCTGCTCCTCAAAAGCCCTAGACAAAGTCTCTATGAGTTGGAATCAATTCGACGGCACTTAACAATGACAACTACATACACTATGGCTGTATTATTTGTTACATAGTAACCGTTATCATTCTAATTTTAATATATACTTACCAATAAAACCAGAAGATGGTGGGTTGGGCTGAATCTTCTCCTTAGTGTTCTCCTGGATAATGTCCCAAAGCTGCCATATAAATTTAGGGTGAAGGATGTAAAATGGCTGGGTTGGGTTTCTCTGACGGTGCTGAATGTATGGAGTGAACAGGTTGTAGTCTGGTTTCTTATACCACTAAGAGAGAAACAAAAGAAGGTAGTACAGTCGAGTGCAGAGGAGAGAGTAAAGAGAAAACAGGGCAGTACCAATGAGGGTGGGTTTAGGGTTAGGGGACAGATGAGGGCAGGTGGGAGATGGGGAAGAAGATGACCCCACACTTCTCCTGGCACCTCTTCACTAGGATGAGGGAATGAGTACAGAAAGAGACTGGATTCTAGCTTCAGCAGGGGCTAACGCTTATTCCTTACATTGAAAAACACGGACTACAGGTGGAGTCGGCAGACTGCTTCTGTAAAGGGCCAACCAGTAACCCTTATCTCTTCATCCTAGCCACTGCCATGTGAAAGCAGCCTAGGCAACATGCAATGAAACTGTCCTGACCAAAACAGGTGGCCATCAGATTGGCCCTGTGGCTCTTGTTTGCTGGCCCCAGGGCTCCACCCATGTATTTCAAAAGTAAGCTTTCCAAACTTAATCTGTTGTTGTTGTTAAATGCCATCAAGTTGGCTTGGACTCACAGTAACCCTGCATAATGTTTCCAAGGGAAGAGCGGCTGGAGAGTTTTAACTGCCAATTTGTGACTCAAACTAACCTTACCATCATGTGCTTATCCTACAGCGCCACACTTCATCTGTAGTGTCAGGAAAAAACACAGCTGCTGGGGATGAAGGTGGGAATGGAATGAGGACTAAGAGAACTTATTGGGGCGGAAGAGATATCTGATATCTTGATTGTGGTGGTAGCTTAAGTAGGGTGTACATCTGGCAATACTCACTAAAATGCACACTTAGGACATTTTCTTGTTGTGAAGTGCCGTTGAGTCGATTCCGACCCATAGTGAGCCTGTATAGGGTATCCGAGGAACGACTGGTGAGCTTGAACCAGCTGACCTTGCAGTTCAAATTGACTTTGCAGTCCAGTGTACTAACCCACAGCACCACACCAGGACTTTACACTTACTGTATGTCAATTCCAGCACAAAAAGATTATTTTAAAAAATGAGATTCTGAGCTATCTCAGGTGCCACCATGAAATGAGTTTTGGAGATGCCATGGGTTGTAATATTAAGACTACATTGAAGAAAGCGTTCCATGGCTTAAATGTTTTTGAAAATGACTAGAACCGATGAATTTGTGCCCCCAAGCTACAAAGGCCCTGAGCAAAGTAAGAGAAGGGATGGTTCCTTTCGTTCTCCCTCTCCCAGATGCTCACACACCATAGTCAGAGTCCAGGACCCCAAGGCAGTGAGCCCTGCCATGGGGATTTCATCTCAGTGCTGCCCACAGCCTTCAAGTTGGACAGCGAAGCACTCTGGGCTTGGATGTTTCCAACAGAGGAAGAAACAAGTTCAGGCAGCTAGAAGCAATCTGTTCACAAAAATCATGAAAGGTGTCAGAGCTGAAAGCTAGAAATCCTTGGGCTAGGGAGGAAGGTGACACGTACAAATGCTCATGTGACACTTGATTCTCTACAGAGGAACAGATGGGAATCAACCAAAAAATGCTCACAAAAAACATACAGAGAGGCTGTACCCCACAGTTCTGGAAATAGGGTTGTGGCAGGTAGGTGTGGAAAATACTAGCCAGGTGATTCTGATTTGCATGCCTGGTTAAGAACCAGTTAGCAGTCATGCTAGGTAAATATCCAGCCTCAGCCTCAAGAGGCACAGTGCCCAAACCCTCTTCTTCCTGAGGGGCCCATTCTGTCATGAGCAGCCTTTCTAGACCATCACTCCTTATGAAGACCCAGTGTGTGCAGCCTCAAAATCATCGTAAGAAAGCCACATTGTCTTGAGACCAAGGCAACAGACAGTCATTGACACAACTAACGGTATCTTTCACTCCATTAACTACCTTCCCCATTCCCACCCTTTATTAGAAAATAAGTTCACCGGCTTTCCTTGCAAGGTTCCATCAAAGAGTAGCTAGTAGCTTGTTCTCCTACAGACAGGCCACTATTTCCTGAACTTCCACAAATATAACATGCCTGTATTTTGGTAGTTAGTAATAATCTTGTGTAAGCTTTATCACAGAAGATTAAAAAGGCTGAGGCACAAGCCAAAGAGAGGTTTACTCAACAAACGCCTGCAACAGATTCCAATGGACAAATAAGGAGCAGTGGGTTCACAACGTTAACGTATAGTATGTTTTCTTGCCAAGTACTTCCAATTTACCTTAAAAGGTCTCGCAATGACTTGGAAGGGTTTGTAACCCTGTTGCAATTTTAAAAACTCTTGAGTTTAATTAGCACAAATTCCAGTGTAACTAGGAATTTCTAAACATGTAGGTTATACTTTTTTTTTTTCCTCTTAAATTCTCCAGAACAGAAGCACTTTATTAGCATGAGATGGATAAAGGTTCACCACACCTAAAGGTGACAGTCAGTGGTGTTAACACATATGTAATGAAATCAGGACCCATGATCAGTTGCATTTTGCCTGCGAAAGCTGAATCCTTGATTTTCTCTCTCAGTCAATGCTTTGTCTGACTGTGGAGGTAGGGGCACTGTAAAGCATTGAACTGTGGCCCCTCAAAACCTGTGTTGGAACTCTAACTCTCTACTTGTAAATATGACCCCATTTGGGACAGGGCTTTCTGTGGTGAGATAATAAAGCCATATCAGTGTAGGGCATGGAGTCCTGGAATGAGATAAGCACTGAACTGCTAACTGCATGTTTGCTGCTTCAAGCTCACCAGCTGCTCTGGACATCCTATACAGGGTCACTGTAAGTCTGAATCAACTCGATGGCACTTAACAACAGTGTAGGGCTTGTCCGATACCTACAAACTTAGCACTCCTGAGTTATAGGGACCTGCAAAGAAGCTCACACAGATGCCTCAAGACGGCCGGCCAGGAAACAAAGCAGGCCAGCTACAGAGCTGACAGAGAGCTTTCCCCTAGAGCCTGTGTTTTGAGTTCAGACTCCCAGCCTCCTAAATTGTTAGAGAATGAAGTTCTGTTCTACAAAACCACCCACTTGTGGTCTTTCTTGTTACAGCAGCGCTACATAACTTACAAGGTTGAGATTTGCAGAATAAGGAGCAGGGTCCCAGGCCACCAAAATGACATCTTTGTACAGCGAACTGTCAATGAAGTGATGGTTGGGGTTGGTTAAAATCTGCAAATATGTAGAAAATAAAAACTTTAAAAACCAGTGTTTCCTTTTTCAAAATGTTTATTTTTAATAGGTATGGAAGGAGCTCTGATAGCGTAGTGGTTACGAATTGGGCTGCGAACCGCAAGGTCAGCAGTTCGAAACTACCAGCTGTTCCACGGGAGAAAGATGAGGCTTTCTGCTCCCATAAAGATTCACAGCCTCAGAAACCCTGTACAGGGTCGCTATGAGTCGGAACCGACTCCACAGCACACAACAACAACAATGGAAGTAAAAGAGCAAGAGAAAACGTTCCTCAGACTTTCTATTTTTCTGTGAGATCTGGGCCGGGCAAGCACTGCATGCTAAAGCACTTACAGAATGTTTGGGGAAAAGAGATTCCTCTTTTTATTTTTAAAGAACCAGTCCTTTAGGGTTCCCTAGAATGTTACCCATGTCTAGTAGCACTGAAGCACAGTGACTCCACATGTTAAGCACTGGACTGCAAACCACAAGGCCCACAGCTCGAGACCGCCAGCCACTCTGTGGGAAAAAGATGGGGTTTTCTGCCCATGCAAAGATTTAAAAAACAGCCTTGGAAATCCTAATCACAGTTGCTATGCATTGGAACCGACACAACCATCAGTGACATGTGAATTAAGGAAATATGGTAATTGTTTTTTAACTCCCTGCAGGCTGCCTGGTTCACTGAAGTATGCAGGAAGCTTAATCTTTTGTTCTGTAAGCAACTCCTAATAAATCACTCATCACCTCATTTCTTTTCCTTATAGTTTGAAACTCTAGAAATTGCTGTGGTTTGTCCTGAAAATAATTTTGCTGTGCATTTGGGAGACTTAAAAAACCAAGAAGAGGTATTTTAATCTTCAATAGTATAATAGATTTTTATTTTTAAAATTTTCTATTATCAGACTAAAGTTCAAAGCTACCCAAGAAATAGTCAGATTTCACTCAACAAATTCTAACTAAACATCTATTGTTGTTGTTGTTAAGTGCCGTCAAATTGGTTCCAATCCATAGCTACCCAGAACAGGATTTCCGAGGCTATAAATCTTTACAGGAGCAAAACATCTCATCTGTCTCCCGTAGAGCAGCTGGTAGTTTTGAACTGCTGACCTTGTGGTTTGCAGCCCGATTTGTAACCACTACGCTACCAGAGCTTGGTAAACATCTAATAGGACTTGGAAAATAACCAGTTACTAAAATGCACATGTAAACTTTAATAGTCTAAAAACATAGCACCCATCTGTGTGTTCTTAGTGAACTGCAATAAAGCTGAGAAATGTTCAGAAATACATCACATATCTTATACCCAACAGGTGTCTAAAGAGATTGCTCATATCTCCACAAAGTCTCAACGACTGCTGAAGACTGTTCTGAGACTCAAAATCAGGGACTGTGCAAGAAAATCTCTTTTGCATGTATGTTTGTTTTTAGAGTTAGACGCTCTTCCCATAACTTTTCTTCAGATTCCGGTGATCAGGTGTCTTGCTGTGACCAGCCTTGGCTTGTGTCTTGCTTGTCTACTTAGACGGGATAACCATGGGTGCCTCAGTTTCGTCTTCATAAAAGGGGAGTAATAATCGTTTAGGGTCATTGCCTAAGTGAGATATTGCATATGAAGCCTAAGAGGGCACAAACACAATGGAACTGTTTAATACATGCTGCAGACCTCAGTTCTGTACCTCTGCATACCTTGCCTCAACCCCTACCTTTCTCATTGCCATTGTATTTCCATCAGCTAACAAAACATAGCCTGTTAAGTCCATAATTATAAAATGTTTCTTCAAGTATGTGTGTGTGTATTATATATAGTATATGTAAACATATATATGTTTCTATATCCTGCCATTTTTCCTTTGGACTTCAATTTTTCAGTTCCTGCCATACTTAAGTCCCTATTCATCTGCATTTCCCAGCTGTTCCATGGGAGAAAGATGAGGCTTTCTGCTTCTGTAAAGATTTACAGCCTCGGAAACCCTGTAGAGGGTCGCTATGAGTTGGAACCAACTCCACGGCTCATAACAACAACAACAACAATTCTTTGCAAGTATACGAACCCTAGAAATAGCCAAGAGTTATGGGTCATGGATAATCAGTTAATTCACTCATCCAGTTGAGCTATTTACCTACAAAATGTACTTCTGAAAATACCCCATCCATCTTACCTGGGAATTAATGATGCGCATGGTGGTCTTATTTCCAACATCCTTCTCATAACCACGTGTAGGGGCAGAGTTAAATCTCAAAACTGCGTCATGAGAATCTAAGGGCACACAAGTGAAAAGCTTACTTTGTTTCTCTGTAGAATCACAAAATCTAGGAAAAAATGTTAAAGTAAATTGTTCATTACCTGAAGATGATTAGATACTACCAATAAAGTAAAGCTAGCCATGCATAATTTTCGGATAATTTACTGTTTAGTTAGGATGCACTCCTGGGTAGAGGGGAAACAAATCAGGAAATATCTCTATATCCCTTTACTCTCTATTATGGTGTGGCATGATAAGATATGTACTAGAATGCAAACTTCAAGTCAGCTGTTCAAACCCATCGAGTGCTCCTTGGAAAACCTATACGGGGTCACACTATGAGTCAGAAGTGACTTGACAGCACTTAATAACATTAATATCATTGAAGTTCTATTTAAAGGTTATATTTCCCCATTCTTTACAAGTGACATACTTTATGCAGCCATTCTTCCAAAGGTTCCAAAAGGCTTGGGAGATGGAAGCTAGAGGAGCGCACAATGCCAGCAGAGCAGGTGCCACTGCTTCTGGACTGGTTATTCATTGTCGAGGACAGAAGCTGGTCAGGATCGCCAGGAACCATGGGTAATGCTGCTGCCTTCACAAAGATCAAGCGCTGTCTCACACAGGAGTCCCAACCTTGAATCCAATTTACTACTCTTTTGTGCTCATTTACACATACAAGAAAACCAGCCTTGATATTGTGCAGCCTGACAGACTAGTGATTAGACCAGGAATGCACAAGTAAAAGTGACTTTCATTAGGAACTTCTGTGTCCCCGGGGAAGGTCTGATGTATCGCTGCAACACTGAGGATGGGAGAGGTCATCAATATTAGCAACTATCAAGGCAATGGCACACCCTGGTTCACTAAGCTTGAGCTACAATATACATTTATACCTTGCTCCATTCACCTTGGCACTCAGACTTTCCCAAGATCTCTGTATGCTACACTGAGACGTCCTAGGTGAAAACAAGGCCTGAACATTAGCTCATATAACAAGGGCTGACAAGATGAAAGGAGGTAAAGATAAAAATAAAAAAAGAAAGAAACAGAAACTCATTGTCCTCTCGTGGATTTTGCCTCAGAGACCCTGCAGGACAGGACAGGACAGGGCAGGGCAGGGCTGCTCTGTAGGGTCCCCAAGGCCACCACTCTGTGGAAGCAAGACTGCCACATCTTTCTCCTGCGGAACAGCCAGTGGGTGCAAACCAATGACCTGTCAGTTTGCAGCCAAGTGCTTAACTGCTATGCCACCAGGGCTCCTTGCAAAGGAAAGCAGGATTAGATACAAACGCAGGGTGCAAAGGGTCAAAGACTCGCTCACCTGATAACGGGAAGGTCTGAGACCTTCTTCCACGAAATCATTAGAAGACAAATGCTAGGGAGCACAGTTCTACTCGGACACATGAGAGGTTGCCTCGACTCAGACCAACCCAACAGCAACTGGGATGGGATTAAGGCCTAGGAATGGAGGATACCTTTCCTGTCCACAAAGCAGTCTGTAAACACACATCTGTCTGGAAATTTCCTGAGCCAGCTAACCAGCCCCAAACCAGCATCAATCAGCAAAAGGTAGATTTCTATGGGCTACCTTAAGCTTCTGTAACTGGAAGCAATTCCAAAACCTGTTGGTGAGAGTAAGAGGTGAGGATATGCATTTGTCCAAGGCAGCATCCCGCTGCTGCCCTCACAGTTCCCCCCACCCCCAAACTGTAGCTATTGTGAGCATGCCCCAGCCCCTGAGCAGTCCCGGTGGAGACAGTCCTACTTACAACCTTGTCTGTGGAAAGTCAGAACACACGCCACAAGTAAACTTCTTCCAAACCCAGACTGCAAAGCTGTATGAGCTGCAAGGTCGGTGATTCAAACTCACCAGCTGCTCCTCGGAAACCCTATACAGGGTCGCTATAAGTAGGAATTGACTCAATGGCACGTAACAACAACAAAGTGCCTTGACTAACAGACCTGAAGTCTAAGGAATCTGGGTTTCAGTTTTGAGTACCTAAATCAACAAAGTTTTCGGATACAAGGAATGCATAAAGGTTATCTATGTCATCGAAAGAAAGAAAGAAAAAAATATCCTGTAATGTTCTTTTTGTGTGGTGGTGCTGCTTTCTTTGTTCTGTCTGTCTTCCTTTGTTGAGTTCCTGCTTTTTGTGTTCTTTCTTATGAGTTTCCTCATAGTTTTAATGTTTCCATGTTCTTCTTGGATTTCATTCTCTTGGTATGTTGTGAAGTGTTAATTTTCTTTGAGATTGCCTTATAGTCCATTAATTTTTCTCTCCATTTAGTGCAGTCTATTTTATCCTGTAATATTGACTTGACCTCACCATCTGGATCTTTGTTCCTACGTATTTACCTGCTTTTACAATGTACTTGTTTTGATCATAGATTGACCTCCAAGATTCTCTGAGTTTGTTCTTATAGTTTTGTTTTGTTCTCGACTCTTCCTTCTGTCGATTTAATTCTGGGAGGTGCTGCCATGTATGTCAATCTCTGGTTGTTGTCTGTTCTTATTGGTTCTCAGTCCACAGAACTATGTTTTGTAGCACATGGTTGGCTTTGGCAAAATCCCTTAGCTTCTGATAATCCTGGAATGTTTTGATTACACCATTGTATTTGATTGATAGCTTTGCTGGATAAAGTATTCATGGGTGGCAATTTTTTCTTTAAGGGTTTTATATATGTCTCCCCATTGCCTTCTTGCTTGCATGGTTTCCACTGAGAGATCCAAGCTTAATCTGACTTGCTTGCCTTTGTATGTAACACTTCTGTTTTCCCTGGCTGCTTTCAGGACTGTCTCCTAATCTTTGATTTTGAAGAGCTTGATTATGATAGGTCTCGGTGATTTTCTTTTGGTGTCTATCCTTCCTGGGGTTCACTGAGCTTCTTGAATGTTTATCTTTTCACTTTTCAGGATGTTAGAGAAATTTTCTTCAAACAGCTCTTCAACTATTTCCTCTGTAGACCTGTGTGATTCTTCTTGTTCTGGAATGCCGATAATTCTTAAGATATTCCTCTTCATGTTGTCCAACATGAATCTTAGACATTCTTCAAAATTTTTTAACCTTTTTTCTGTTTGCTCTTCTATCGTAGTGGTATTAAGAGATTTGTCTTCCAGATCACTGGTTCTGTCTTCCATCTCATCTATTCTACTTCTTTGCCCTTTCAGAGTATTGTCTATTTCTGATATTCTATTATTGATCATTTGGACATCTATCTGTAGGTTTTGAATTGTTTCCAGTGCTCTAGCTATCTTATTTGATTGTTCCTGTAGCACTTTCCTGACTTCTTCCTTATTTTTCTCAACTCAATTGTAAAGTGTTTTGAAACATTTTATAATAATTTTTCTGGTTTCCTTCTCAGACATTTCCAAGGCCTGGCCTCCTTCCAGAATGGAGTCCAGGTCTACCTCTAGGTCCTTTGTCTAAGACATTTTATCTTTTTTCTGGACATGTGCTGATATGGTCATCTACTTTTGCTTCTTGTACATGTTTAGTGTTTATCTGTGGCCTTAATACTTAATTGAGTATGCGTTTTGGTATTTTTTATGCTTTCTGATTGCTTCCCACAGGTAGATGCAATCAGGATGTGGGCTTCCCTTTTCACCCTTCTTATTGCTTAACACAGGTGTTATCTGTTTCCCTGGTATATTGCAGATGGTATTGGTTCTTGCCTGGGTTTTGGTGTTTTATAGCATGTGATTGTAGCTTGGCTATATGATAGCAGTTGCTGACTCTTCTTGAGTAATTTAGGGATAGAAAGGGTTCCCCAAAGGTAGAAGGTTGAGTATATAACAGCAGAACAACACCAGCAAAACAACAACAGCAACTACAAGAAGAACAAAAACAAACAAACAAAAATTAGACTGAATATTGCAGTCTATAATCACAGAAAATGGAGAAGAGGGAGAGAAAAAAGAAAGAAAAAAAAAAAATCTGTAGCCTAATATGAGTATGACTTTAATGTACTCTCTTCAGCTTCTTGCTTTCAAAGCTGACTGAGAGATTTCAAAATGCCATTGATGGTTGTTTTGCTATACCTCGGGCTTTAATTTAATTTTTGGCCTGTTTTGTTTTTAAATTCTCTTTCCCTCTCTAGAAGCCCTGTGCTACCTTCTCCCATATTAAAAAAAAAAAAAAAAAAAAGTGTTCAAGCCTTCTCTTGTGTGCATGCGTGGCAGAAGAATGCACCAGTAGTGAGGGTGGGGGGTGTTCACTCGCTCAGGCTTCCCCTCTAGTCACCAGAATGGAGGTGCGCAAACAGTGGGGGTGCCAATTACCAGATACCAAAAAAAAAAAAAAAGAAAAAAAAAAAAAAAAAAAAAAATCAGAACAAAGCAAAACCGACAAAGTGTATTGTCCACCTTTGCTCCAAGGTTCCTGTTGCTGGGGACAGAAAACGCAGACCCTGGGTTGATCAGTGGCAGCCCCATTAAACCACCTCTGAATTTAATCAGTTTAACCCAGATGCTCTTCTTCCTCCTGAAAGTATATAGGAATATTAAGAACAATGTAGCATTTTAGGTATAGATAAATGAAGCCCGGTGCCTGAGATCTTGCTCAGAAACAAAAGTTTGCAAATTGTACAGAGACAGCTTGCCTCCTTTCAGGAACTTTGCTTTATGTTATGTATCCTTAAGAAACCACATGTTGCTACTCTAGATCATTTAAGCCTAAAAGTTAATATATAACAGCTTGGTTGAACCTTTTTATTCTCTAAAAATAAAAAATGTTAGATTGTTAAGAAAAACTATGAAAATATCTTAAAAGTTGTTCCTGTGAATCATTATGTCCTGTTTTGAATGATGAATCACATTTCAGGTCCGTATCCTGTCTTAATCACATCCTCCCTTTGTGACATCCTCCCTGAGTGAATTACATCCTTCCTTTGTAACAAATCCCTCCCTAAAAAAGAGAACAAAAGGCTGAGGTAGAGTAAGTTCTGCAGGCAATACTGTGCAATGCTAGGCAAAATGTTTGCAGATCTGTCTACCTGCAAGCTTGCATTATAT